AATCATGTTATTTACACACATGTATCTTCTATAAATTTGCTTTAAAACACAAATTGTTTTGCGAATGTTATCAAGTATAGATTTAAATCCCTGGATTCATGTACCATAGCTGCAAATCTCACTGTGGTATTACCCAGGGACCCCTGTAATTTCAAACAGTTATCATACAGTCATAAAACTTATAGCCTGTAATTCCTTTTAAACCACTGCTATAAATTTTCTCGTTTAATTTCTGAAAGATACCCAATAAAATAAGCAAATCTAATCATGAAAATCATTCACTAAAATGTTGATATTGACTCTTGAAAATGTATTCTCTTAAAAACCAACATAACTGAGCAAATATCGATGATAACCATTTATTTCCAAAGTGAAAAAAATCCTTCAATCAATTTTGCAACTTGTTTTTACAGTGTGTCATTATGATCAATTCAAACCCACCACTGAATGCTTTCCCCAAGGCTTAACAAGAGTTACCTCCCCTTCAGTCAAGAAAAAGATTCAAGCTCAAGTCTGCGTGCCTCACAAGGAATCAATGGGAAGTTGCTAATTTTCCTCTCACAACTACCTTTCTCGCAGCTGTTATTCCTCACTTCATTACCATGGCAACATACTTAGATCATGTTGACAAGCAGCCTAGCAACTGATGATACTGTTATGCAACATCTGTGAAGTAATTAGAAAGACTAACATTTATCAAGCAGTATCGGGGGAGCACAGATATCACACAAAGGGCATGTGAATTATCTGTCAGTGAGAGTAACTGTTGACATTTCCCTGGAATACGCTACTAACTGTGTGTGTGACATGAGCAACTATCTGCACTGAAATTTCAACACGAACAAAATCTATTTCACTTCTGTACATTGGGTTTTCACACCAGACCCTGCATTTTAGAGTGGGAAGGAAGGACATTTTCTGTACCCATTGTAATAACAAATTCATGTCAGTATGAATTTACAGTCCTGCACCCTTGTGTCATGCAACTGGGAGACTATGAGCAATGGGTCAAATGAGGTTGTTTCTGATACAAAAGCTTAACTCAAATACAACCCAAGGCATTTTATGTGTTTCTGCACTGTATGTTCAAGGTAACAGAGAGGTGAAAGAAAGTCTTGCCTTTTTTAATTCAAACAACAATTCTTTCCAAAAGTACTTCTTCAAATTCCAAAACATGCGAAGAGACAATCCTTATTTTACAGATCAAACTTATGACCTCATCCACAGTTGTGACCATTGCCATGACTCCGATGAATCGTATTTTCCTTACAAAGGACAGCAGAAAGATTCAAGGTTGTTGGTCCACGCAAGCACAAATTTGCCTCCTGAACATTCTCATTAATTCAAACACTTGTGGAAATTATCAAAGATAAGTTGACTTAAAAATGATTTTACATCAAGCACTAGTCTGAAAAGTGCTGCAGATGTCGTCCATTTGTCAGCTTTGCGCTGGTGGTGGAAGGAGATGAATGAAAGGATATAACATAACCCTTCTGAGGAGTTCAAATACTTTCAACAAGACAAAAATTGAACACTGAGGAGTATAAATCTAATTTTTGTACTTACAACATATCAATTAACAAACATCTTTCATTTTAATCTTGTGTAGTATATTTTGAAAGTATGATTTCTGTACAGTCTGACTTACACATTTACCAAATATTCCTTCAAGCATGTCTTTACAAGAGAGAAATAATGGCTAACATTGTTTTATGGCCCTTGAATGGTGATGACTAGTCTGCCTCACAGTCCCTGAAACACATTATTTTCCCTACTGCCAAGCCCTATCTGCAGTGCTAAAGCCTTAAATAAAGCAAGTCTAGATTTTTTCAGGTTCCAAATCTCTGGTCTGCCTCGGGCTCCTTTTCAATTTTAATGGGCTTGTTTGTTACAATTAAAATTCGATATATTCAGAGACTAAGCGTTAGTCTATATGATGACCTATTGATGTACATACTAGACAACCTTATGCTTCCACATATACTCAGGGATTTATCTTGGATTCCACACAAGTTTCCCATGAAAGACAAATTGGGAAATATAATCTATTTATTCAATAATGGGATGGTTAATTAAATTCTTTCCTTTCCAAAACTCAAGAGGTATTTTTTCAACACTGCATTCTGAAATGCAATGCAAAAACAGAATCAAACACACACAAGCCTCTTTATTGAGAACCATTATCAGTGAAATACAAGTCAGCTCTACAAAGCCGTGACAAATGAATTGGGGATTGTTTAATTCCAACTTGGGAATGTTTACTTACATCCTGGCTCGGGTGTGCAGGTCTAGACAAACGTGTTACTGCCAGATCCTATCAATGAAGGCATTACTCCACTGTGGTTAGTCTGTGTCACGGTCCCTGAACCACATTATTTCCCCTACTGCCTAGCCCTCCCTGCAATGTAGTCTGTCTCACAGTCCCTGAACCACATTATTTCCCTTACTGCCTAGCCCTCCCTGCAATGTAGTCTCTGTCACAGTCCCTGAACCACATTATTTCCCCTACCGCCTAGCCCTCCCTCCAATGTAGCCTGTCTCACAGTCCCTGAACCACATTATTTTCAATACCGCCTAGCCCTCCCTGCACTGTAGTCTGTCTCACAGTCCCTGAACCACATTATTTCTCCAACCGCCTAGCCCTCCCTGCAATGCCTAGGACCTAGATAAAGCAAGTCTAGATTTCCTCCGGTATCTCACACCTCATTGGGGCTCCTTTTCAATTTAAATGGGATTTTCTGTTACTATCAAAATGATATATATTCAGAGACTAAGCATGAGTCTACACTACTATGTGTGTGTGAACGTATCTGATGAGGGACTCACATTCTGCTGAACTCACTCCCAACAGGAAGCAGGTCGCCATAGCTACAGCTAGTAGCTTCCTTCTGTTCATCCATGTAAGGAACTTACACCCAGAAAACTACACCACTTCAAAAATGTCAGAAGTAATACTGTCAAGTCATGTGTTTGATCATAACCTGACAACCACATAACAGAACGGCCTCATTATCCCAGCTATGTTACGTCTATTCACAATGACTTCAGATATATCTGAATGGAGTACATATCATCTGTGAACTTATGGTGTCTGGTGTCGCATGTCAGTGTGGCTTGACACTACAAATCTACTTCTTGGCAATCAAGATACACTCCAGGCAAGTTGATATTGATTTCATTAGCCTTAGTTGCACAATACCCTAGAATATGTAAAAAATCAGTCATTTCCACAGTATCAGATAGTTATCCTTGGGCAAAAGGAAAAATGTTTCTTTAGTAGTGAGAAATCTACACTACAAATTCCCTTCAATTCCAAGATAGATGAACAATGACAAAATTTAAACAAATACTTTTAAACATGCAAAAATATTCATAACTAAACCTGTAAGGAAATCTTATTTTAGCTTGAGATAAGTGCGACTTTTCTGCAAGGGCTTTATTAGCAAGACCAGTCATGGACTTTGAGGTTAGTGGACAAAGTCACAGACTGCTTTGCTTTTTCACTACTTATCTTATACCACAAGTGACTTATCAGTATGACTTTGACCTTCACCTTTAAGTGACCTAACACTTATTAAATGGGACCCTGTACAAGAAATACATGTACAGTAAGAGAAGTATTGAACCACTTCTTAAGTATCGAGCCATCTAAGGATAGGATTTGGAGATTGTTGTTTTCTTTTAAACACTTCAACACAGTTCTTCTAAAGCTACTGACTAAATATATACTGGACAGTGTTCTGTCTGAACAGGAAATATTCTCCCTGTGATCCTGTAATTTTTCAAGCAAGTTTGATGTTACCCTTACAGATGAACTGGTGTGTGGCTTACAAGAATATTTCCACAATCAAAACAACCGAGAAATGGATGTTTATGGCTGCAATGAAGATTAATAGCTTTACATGCACTAATTAATTCACTTATCTGCTTTAATGACCTGGGTATATACAAGTTAATACAGATTTTCATTGTACTATGTCTAGCCTTAAGTAAGCTTTTGATTTCATTTAAACAAAGACCAAAGGACTTTCAGGTATTAATGCCTCCACATGAAACAGGGAAATTTTTAACTCTTGTGGACATATTTTTTCTTGTAGCAATCTACATTCCAGCCACAATCAATTTCCCAAGTAACCATATGGATTACTGACTAAATACCCCCAGTGTAGTACTTGAAGTGGCCTAGATCTGTACCTGAATGTGGCCTAGATCATTCCTCTTAATTCACTGATAGTTGTTTGAACATTGTACCTGTCTAGATTCATTCACGCATGACTGACAGTAAAATTGTACACAAATATGCTTTCAACACAACAACTGCATTCTCTCATACATCATTTGCCCTGGTGCTTACTTGCACACCGAATCAAGTTACGTGATATAACCCCCCATTTGTCTCTGACCTTCATGAAATCTGCCCCTCCCACCCAACGTACACGCTTGAGTGAACCCATTAATAGTAGGTCTCGTTCATACAACAGTCAGACAGATAGTCATTGTTAATTCCCTCTGTTTATTCTTATCAATCGGCTTATTGTTTATTCGTTCTACGACTAATTACTGTGATGAGGGCCATTCACTGCGAGACATGTAATTCACAATGAAACAATGGGGGTCAGTGATGAATGTTGTTTTGATATGTCCGATTTCTGTGATAAAAATACACCTTCCACTCATATGACCCAAACACAACAAACGACAAAATAGTTGCATATGACAACATATTATGTGATCATAATTAATATCTGGATGAAATAAAATCCATTCTGAAGCGTCGATATCCACATGGTAGGTATCCAATCTGAAATCAACATCCATGGGTGACAGCGAGTGTTGATATTCACCTCGTGTCTTTGACTGAACCCAAACAAAAGCATGTGACCTAGTTTCACTTTGCCGCCATTTCCCACCGCTGTATAGCGCGCTCGATAACACAGCCAATATTCACATATATTCCACAAATGAAGGCATATGCACCCAATATCGTCACACATACTTACGTAAAATAATATTAATATATCCACAGGAATCAAAATGGGCTCACAAACATCCAGATTTCAAACAAAAGACGCATTTTCGACGAGAGACTTTGTTCGCAGCCTTGTTCGTTCGCCAACTGCAGGTGGAATGTAGCCAGCGAGTCACGAGACTGTTGTGTCGTCCAATGGCGAGTCGGAATGCTAAAACGAAACGAAACATATAACCCAGCGCATATTTTCCTCGTTGACACAAACATACACATTTTGACCACTAGATCAACTCAACCAAAACATTAATGCACCTAAAACGTAATCACAATCAAACAATGTCTATCAATAACCACAATAATTTCCCCACAATTCTCGCTGACATATACAGTATTTATAAGCTTGTAAGTCGTGAAGTATGTATTGATTCGATAGTATGGGATATTATTTAATATCATAAAGACAGCCTTTGTAAGGACTCTGACATATTAGCTTAGGAAACTATATTTAGCGTCCTTAACTATGGTTTTACAACACCCGCTGTTCAGCTTTAGGCTAATTGACTAAATTTAGCCAACTGAAATCTACACGTCTTAGCTTTGCCTAAAGTATACAGTCCCTGAAACAACGGGTTTTTGAAAAATCAAATAACATAGAACAAACTGAGTTTCACTCAGATGATTAATTTGAGGAAGAGCTGAAAAGATAATGAGTAAAGCTTTTAGAATAGAGATTGGAAAACAAATTATTGGGGGTTATTGTTTTATTAAAAGATCAGCGATTAACCAAAGTACGGATTCAAGGTCAAATATACAATTAATGGGCATTTTACATTCGAATATACCTATCAAAATAGATAAAAACATCATCACGGCACATTGCTAAACATGCGAAATAGATGAGGTGTACATTGTTGTTCTTTTTGTGTGTATTTGCATTTTATAATTGTTTTTAGTGAGAAACTTTTCCGTTAAATAGGATATTTACATATCTGTAATCTTTATCTCAAAGTCTTCAGTTTGCGACATACCTGGTCCACGGCCTTATTGCGAAACACCCCGCCTTAATGTGACAAAATCACATCACACTTCAATGGTTGGTTTAATCTGTGTAAAATGTGTGTGTGTCACATGTGTGTGTTGTGTAAGTTGTGTGTGTGTGTGTGTGTGTGTGTGTATGTGTGTTGTGTGTGTGTGTGTGTGTGTTTTGTTGGGTTGGGTTGTCATTTACGTATGACATTAGCAAACATTTCACAGACGCACAACAAAGAGACCCTGGCAAAACCAAACACACAAAATATAATGGTACACGGTGGTTGCAATTTTTATCAACTAAAATCACTAATTGTAATTCTTAATAATATCAGTCAACCATATTTTGACGATTGTGCACATGCACCCAAAACGCATCGGAGAAGAATTGTTTGCTTGTGTGGTAACGACTATCAAGAAAATTATAATGAGCTTTCTTCACTCGAGCGTGTCAAACGAGTAAGGCACGATGCGTGGAGCTCACGTCACAGCCGACACTGTTAGGAGTATAGGTGGAATGTCGTTCGGGGCAACTTCAAACAGAATTACCTTATTTTCCATTTTATAGTAAATTTATACACAACGAAAGACAGAATTAGAATGATCACTGAAGTCACAGATGAATGAATGGCCGCTAAACTACCACCCTGAGTTCTCAGTACAAAAAAGACACAGTATGAATTCAGCTCGTCATCACAATTATCGATATAGTCGATTTTGTTCACCTTCAGCATTAACTGCCGTAGGCTGAATTGTGTTCCGAAATGCGCGCCCGCATAACACACCCGTGCAAACTGCGAGTGGGAAGTTGCGTCATGTTCTAAAATTAGTAAAAGACTTTTGGAAAAAATCTAGAACACCCCTCTTTTCCCTAAAGACATGTAAGTCTTGAGGGGAGAGAACTCGAGTGGACTTTGACGCAGATATAAGTATCTTGAACGACCAATCAGAATTGATTAAGTTTACAAATCCATAAAATACACAAAGGATTGACAAAAACATATAAAATGTTTCACATCAAATAAAATGGCATTTTAGGAAAATGAAATAATTGAAACGATCCATTGCAATTTATTAAATCAAATAACGATAGATATACCATACCAAACCAAACCAGTTATTATTAATAACCTAAGATACCGTATAAGAAACACTTCAAATAATATATTTCTACGTATAACGCCCCTTAGCCCTTAAATGTTCTTAACACCTGTCCTGTTTCTTATATTAATTCGGCTAGGTATACATGACCATACGTACGGTATTGTTCTTGCGAATTAGTTCAGCGTACAAAGTACACAGTTATTCTGTAAACGACGAGTTATCAAGACTATGGGACCGACAGCACATGGGAGTAGGAAAGTGGCGTGGAGATCACGTGACTCTGAATCACGCTAACATTACACAAACAGGAGGCGTCGGCCTGTATAATCGAGTACAGTGCATTGCACACGTTCCTTATTCGAAAGGTCATAACAAAGGGAGCTAACTCATGTAATGCAGAAAAGGGTTAATCTGATCCCCTGTGACGTGTTTCCGTATCAATAATACTGAGGGTTATGTGCTAAAAATCAAACATAGCTGTTGTTATTTCCCTGAGAAATGACATACGCCGCGTGGCTGTCATCGTAGCGTTTGTGATGCGAAGAAAGGGTATTTTTTAAAAAAAAATCGAATTCGGGTCATAATAAATTAAAAAATGTGATTTGCAACATGCAAAATTTCCGATTGCAATAAAGGCGTGCGGCAAAATAGGTAATTTCGAAACATATAGTTGAAAGAATCTACAAAAACGCAACAGATGACACTGTTATCAGTACAATAACGTAAGGGATACGGCTATCGGATACACCATTGGAATTCAAAGTATCTCAAATGAGATAAATATCCCAGATTTTCAGGGACGAAAGAGGACGTGAAATGTCAAAATTCCCACAGTTGTAGAGAAATTCATAACGAAATATGTTTGTGAAATCTATGTATCTAATTTATGTTGGGTTTTGTTCGCATGAAACCAAACATCCTGCTTCCGCGTGGGTTTAAATGTACTGCAGAGCGTCATGTTGGCCACGTTGTTTCAGAAGCGCTGAGTGCACTCCGGTGGTTACGTGTAAAAGTTGGATGTACATAAAACCCCGAAATGAATAAATCGTGGTTCATACGTATTTGATGCAACGAGCCAATACACGTAGTCAATAGTCACCTAGTAGAGTCAGCTGCAGGTTATAAAGGAGCCTGTCGTTGAGTCTTGGAGCTTGGTATTCAAATGTAATTTTAGTCATGGGTCTTTCTTTACTTGGGGTTATTCTATAGGAACTGCCTTGTACCTCCATTGACACACGACCCGACACCAGACAAACAAGTGATTATATCTCTGAAATTTCACATTTACACGCAACTTCTGCTTAAAGTATTACTGGAGGACAACCAAATGTAATATTATATATAGAGGATATTATATGAGTGTCCATGTCATACTATACTCATGCCAATATTAGTTGTCACCCCTTCAATTTTATTTAATTGGAGAGGGGTGTGGGTGGGGTGTGAGGTTGGGGTGGGGAGGGGGTGACAACCATTATTGGCATGAGTATATGTTTACGACACGAGTGTCTAAATGTTGGTATTTCCCGAGCGAGAGCTAGGGATATACCGATATTTAGGCACGAGTGTCGTAAACATAGTATGATATGGGCACGAATATAATATTCTGTTTATTACCGAAGTCGTCAAATTGAGGAAAATAAACCCAAATCTACTTTCAAACATAGGCTGGCTCCCCGCCGCCGCATGTAGAACTCAACGTCATCGAAGAAACGTGACGTCATAGCCTTGTTTATGACGTCACGTCACCATGACAAAGTGATATTTTGCCCTAGGGCATCGTATGAAAAATATGAACCCCGATATGTTCGCCCTCGTAGGTAGGATTTGGGTTATTTTCCTCAATTTGACGACTTCAGTAATAAACAGAATATTATATTCGTGTCCATATCAGACTATGTTTACGACACTCGTGCCTTATCTTATGAACCTACTGATACCTCGTGTCTCATAGGCCTACTGGCCGGGTGGTATATAGTTTAATCTGTCCTGTTTGTATGTCTATATGTATGTATACTGCGTGACACGTAAATACATTATTTACTTACTTATTTACTGTAATGCAGAGTACCCCCATGTTTAGGGGCGGTGAGGTAGCCTAGTGGTTAAAGCGTTCGCTCGTCACGCTGAAGACCCGGGTTGGATTCCCCACATGGGTACAATGTGTGAAGCCCATTTCTGGTGTCCACCGCCGTGATATTGCTGGAATATTGCTAACAGCAGCGTAAAACTAAATTCACTCACTCACCCATTAAATTATCGGTATCCACTAGTTACGCTTGTAATAACCAGACCCTCCTCACTCTAGGATATAAAAATAAGTATCTAAACAGGAATAACCTTCATGTTAATTTGATCAGTGTTTTACCTGGACCTACTAATCTCTAGTTACAGGGATATCCCCCAAATTAATTTCAAGGGTCTCCAGAGGAAATATGAGGATCCTGTAAGTAATGAAATGTCTGAACAAAAACGTCACTGTAGTAATTCAGAACATCATCGCAAATATATGATCTCTATGGCAATATGATCAGTACAGTGAGGAGTGAGTGAGTGAGTATGGTTTTACGCCACTTTGAGCAATATTCCAGCAAGATCACGGCGGGGGACACCAGAAATGGGCTTAACACATTGTACCTTGTGGGAAATCGAACCCGGGCCTTCAGCATCACGAGCGAACGCTTTAACCACTAGGCTATCCCACCGCCCCTTCAGTACAGTTACATCACATAGTGTAGAGTAGTGTAATATTCGATGCTTAATTATATCACAAGACCTTTGTCAATAATTGGGTGCAGTGAATATGTTATGTGTGTCAAATGGGATGCAATATTGAAAACGTTCGTGTTCAGACACACATATCTGTGGGGTGTATTAGTGAAGCGAGAAATAAGACCTGCTTTTCAACAGGTTTATCTGTTATTTTTGTTGATATTCATGGAATATATTAAATAATCGACAATCCAGTGTCTGACATCATTATCATCGATCTTCGCCAAGTCCGCGAGCCTATTTCTCCTTATTAGTCAATCACC